TAAATTGCACTATTTGTTAGTTTTAGATGATTCAGTGTGACTAAATGTTTGTGTTTGAGAAGATTCTTCGTATTCAGCGTTGTTTTCTTAGTGGTTCCCGTCGCCTTCTGCACTTTGTTTACAACCTTAATTATTAATCGCGAACTTGGTGAAAATGATCGATATAAAAGATGGTGGAAGGATTATAGCTACACTGCGCTAGCTTTATCAATTTTCTCTGCAGTTGATAATGAAGCTTTGAACGTGGCATCTTCACATTTTGCTGGTTATAGAGCATTAAGTGCTCCCTACACACGAGGCACAGATCAGCGGATTATCTTGGCTACCGTTTTTATTATGTTTATCGAAGACATACCTCAATTCATATATTTGGTGAATAAAATTTTAAAGATATTAAATATAATCAGTGATATCTTTGTTAGTGATAAAACTAATATATTTTATTTATATAGATTATTTATCAAAAAGTTACTATCATTCCGGCCATTGTTCCTATTCTTGCACTTTCTTCATGCACTATTCTCATATTTATTAGAATAATATCGATAATATATCTTGCATTCATCTGTGAACGTGAACGAGATCGACATGATGATGAATATGATGAAGAACTGGGAGAAAAAGATAGTATTGAAGAGGGAGCCGCTCCACCTGAAGGACCTAGAAATCGTAAATTCTTTGTTTATATACAACACTTTAATCAATTTTAACTTAAAAATCTAACCTTTTTATTTATTCACAATACCTTATATAGTTGGGAGACAAGAACCACCGGCTCTACTTGTTGATCTTGGAAGCGATGAGAACAGAAAGAATGGAAAATCCCGATTTACACCTGGGGACGCGCGTTCACAGAATCTTAGTATTGAGACTGATAAACCAATAGGAAAATTCTCCGGCGGCGAAAGTCATAAAGCAGCATTAATAGGAGCATCAAAGAACGGAAAGAATGGAAAAACCCCACGTTCACCTATTGAAGTAGAAGCGCATAGAAGTGATATTAGCAGTGATGTTGAAAAACCAATAGGAAAATACGTCGAAAGTCAAATGATAGACTCACCAGCGGAAGGAGGACGTTTCGAAACTAGAATCACGCAATATAAAGATGAATATGGTGTTATTCAAACCAAAAAAGAACAGATTTTTATTCCTGAAGTTGAAACAATTACTACTGTTCATGAAGAAAATATTTATATTGATTCATCTGATGTTCATCAACAAACTCATATTAGCCAAGGCGGACAACAAGTTAGCCAAGTTGGACGTCAAATTAGCCAAGGCGGACATCAAATTATCCAAGGTGGACAACAAATTAGCCAAGGTGGACAAGGTGGACATTTAATTAGTCAAGTTACAAGAGATGAATCAGTTATTCATGAGTTACCAGCTACTCAAAGTTCAACAATAACAACTACCACCTATGTAAGAAGTAATGACCCACCAACAACTACAACCACTACTACTCACGGAAATATAACTGGACAAGATACAAGAAGTAGTCCGACAACGACTACAACCACTACTACTTATGAATATTTCGGTGGAGTCCAAAACATTCGAAATATAAGAGATGCTTCTTCAGGCCAAATAATTGAACAATACACACAAGAAATTCAAGGTGAACCTCATACTCATGTAACAAGAACAGAAGAGACACACGAAATACCTGGAGGATCTGAGACAGTTATTACTACAGAAACAACGACTGAATACGAAGAATCTTCTCAAACACAAACATTTAGTCACACTGAATCATCTAAAACTAACAAATAGTGCAATTTA